CACACACACACACACACACACACACACACACACACACACACACACACACACACACACACACAAGGATGGCATTGCAGCAACACTAGAAAAACTCTAACAAAAAGAACTCAAACCCAGAATGAGTGACTGGAAACAATCAGAACATGATACAGGAACCATCAGTGCACTGATTACAGAGAATGGAGGACAGTTAATGCCAGACTCACTAGCAGAGGGAGCACAGTGTATACTGTATATAAATAGACAAATACTAAACTTACTAAACCTGAAACAGACTAACCAGATAAACAACACAATTAAATTAATCAAAGAGGCAAAATACAGAAAAAAAGACATTGAACAGAAACGTGAACTAAGAACTTTTTAAATGAAAAATACACAGAATCAAACCTTTGACTCTCACCAAAAAGTTTTTTTTTTTCATTAAACTGCTGTTCTATAAACACTTACAGCATATTTTAAATTTTGTATTGTATGTTTAGGGGTACAACATGCTCTTCTCATAACAAAAGTTATGAGGAAATTCACGGGTTCTTCTGTTTAAGGAAAAAACAATTTATCTGTGTAAAAACGAGGCCACACAAAAAGATGAACTTGACTCAGAGTTTAAGTTAATCTAAAATAAATTACATTTATTTACAGAATCAAATAATTTGATAATGTACAGCTTATTGTGGACAATCAAACTTCCTATAAAGAGTTGAAATCAACAACAATTAACACGCGTCCGAGTGAATTATCATTACTTTTACAACTTTATCGGGAACAACAAACTACAGGCTTAAGATCTTAAAACAACCATTGTTTGTGGCACTTTTTCTTAAGTTTTGGCAGGGCATAAGTTGAAGGTAAGAAAAGAGGGAAAGGAGGATGTTAGTTCTAACTTTGAGCTTATCAATATGTGAGGAGCCAGGAATGGGCACATGCACATTATGGTGTGACAGCACAGTGGCTCAGTTGGTAGAGATGTTGCACTGCAAAAAGTAGTCATATAATTTAGTAAAAATTGCCGTATAATACTGAATTATAGTCTGAATCTTCTCAAATTAAGTGAAATAATCTGCCAGTGCAGACAACTACGCTTGGTAAGACTTAGGGTCATCTATGGCAGGGTTAGGGTAGTCATTCTGCATGTTCTCTCCATGCATGTGTGGGTTTTTTCCAGGCACTCCAGTTTCCTCACAGACCAAAAACATGAATGTTCRGCTTGATTAACCGTGTTTCCATTCAATTTTAATGTGTTTTTTTAKCAAACTTTTAAAATGTCACAAAAGAAGAAATGTGCATCAGATGTGTTTCTATCAACTGGTTTGAATCGAATCAATCAGGCTACGCAAAATGTAATTACATTACGCATGGCTGTAGTAAACAGGAAGTAAAGTAGCAAACTCATTATGACTACACACCTCAGGACAATGGAGAGAAAATATAATTATTGTTTTATTCTGTAATTATTCTGTCATATCAACTAGTATTGGCCATGATACCTGCTGTCTAGAGACGTGGAAAAAGAGATGCAATTCTCTTCATGTTACGGGAATATCCAGGAAGACAGCGGGAGGAGGGTCCAGCTGCAGCCACAGCCACAGTTATTGGTCAGCAGGAACAGCAGATCGAGGTAAATTTTCGCTACATCAGAACATATTTGGCAAATGTGTTTCCATCCCACCTTTTGCGCATTAACTCTTTTTTTGAAAATCCAAAAATGACCTCAAGCGAGTGTAAAAACCTTTTTGCAAAATTGAGAACGTTTTTGCAAATTTTGCCATTTCCATCCACCTTTTCTAATGCAATACTTGAAAATGCTCATGAAAAATGTTGATGAAAACACAACTAGTGAGAGTAAATGGTTGTTTGTCTCCTTTGTTGGTGTGGTCCAGCTTCTCTGTTACCCTTCACAGAAAGGCAGGTAAAGAAAATGCATGGATAAATCAGTCTTTTTTGCCAGATTGAACTCCTTTTTTAAGATTTAATTTGCTCATGCAGAACATTTTCAAAATATCATCCACGCTGTCCTGATGCATCTCAGTAATCCAGGTAAAAAATCAAAAAGAAAAAAATTGTATAGGTCTTCTGGACGGGTTCTTCTCTAATGAAACGTTTCGTCACGGTTTCATTAGAGAAG